CCGGTAGCGTATTGGATGTTGTTTTTTAGGGCTCTATTTTAACAAACCTAACGCAATGGTCAATCTAAGTGCTGGCGGTAGCGCTCTAGGTAAGGGAAAGGTAGACACCTAGTCAGTTGTACAACTGAATGCATTCAACTTAAATGTGTCTTCCGCATTTAAGGTTTGGGGGTCTTTTTTACAGTCTTTTATGTATTGCCTTGGAATCAACTCCAATTCCATTGTTAGTCCATTATAGTTTGTTAAACAGCTTACATAATTATAATTTTTTTTATGTCGACCTATCCCATCTTTACTAAATATGTTAACTTGAACCTGTTTGCAGTCCACATTGTTCTAATTAATTGCATTTGGAGTGACCACATGTCCTGGATTGTGCGGGACAGTTACGCATTTTTCCCCTTTGTCCCGCAACAAAACAATCATGTCCAGTATTTTATCAACAAATTCAAGCACCACTAATTTAGAAAAAAGGTTGTGAAAATATATATATCATAATGATGTGGTAGCCTAAGCTTACTGGTGACGTTAAACACTTTTCGAATCTTTGTTGAGATCTGGTATTCTGCGCTGTGCAAATTGAGACGTAGGCCAATGTCATAGGCCTATTGTCAACCAATCATATTTCTCAAATTCTTTCGGCCTAAATTCCAACTAAACTTGAAGAGGACAGTAGGCCTAACTACTTACAAAAAGTGTGCTTCTGGTGAAGAGCTACAAAAGTAAGTAAATAGCCATATAAGACTGAAAGATAAAGGTAATTTTGTCAAACTTGTGGGGCTCTCCATGCTCATTAGTTGTTGCTACTTCACTCAATCCCGTTTTAAAAGACTCCCTAACTGTTTTACATTCCCTGAGACCAACCAGAAATGTTTACTTGGCCAAATATTCCCCTATTTTGCCACACATGTGGTCTCTCGTTTCTGCATCACCACATTTTGCATGAGGCAAAAAGAGTGAGCTAGGTGCGCTTCAATTGCTTGTTCGGAGCAGCAGACAGCAGTGGTCCGGAGCATCGCCCCCCTTGTTTAGTAAGCTAAAGTTAGATCAAATCTGAGTCAATAATTAATGAGTATTCTACTAGTGGGGTTCGGTGCCATTTAAGATGAGGGAAGAAATATTTTTTTATGAGCATGGCCTCATTTCTATTTCAGCATATTGGATGACTGTCATTCATACTCCATTCAACTAGCTCAATGTAACATCGATAGGTTTAGGCTACTACATGATACTCACATTTTCCCTATACACATCATGAAGTTACTACAACCTAGCCTATGAATGAAAGTTTGCAAGTACGCTAGGTGCACATGTTGAGAGAAATTTGAGTAATCAAGGTGACAGACATTGGCACATTCAATACCGCCTTACACACTCTTGCCTGCATCTGGCTGATCTAGGGTGTAATCATTAGTCCAACAGTTGCAAACAAGAGTTTCTATAGGACAAATTCAGGTATGTTTATCCACGTTTCGTTCCGTTTGCTTCTGTTTAAAAAACATTTTAACAGAATCTGCGGAATGAATACACCCCTTATCACACACAAACACAGTTCACTTTCATAGCAGCCACATAGTACATACAATACAGCACAATCCCTTTGATCGTTGTATAATTTCTTATCGCATCTACGCGCTCTCCTCCTCTCACCTTCATATTATAACCGCTACATCGTCATAGTCAACATTGCTACTAGAACTAACGCGTTAGTAAACCTGCTACAATTATGCAGTAGCAGTTACACTGGCGGGTCCCGGTGGCAATAAATTAATAAAACCAAAAGCTTACCTTGACTTTGAAGAGTTCCAGTGTTGGATAGCCATAGCCAGCTAGCTAACATAGCATCCCTCTCTGTTTGAGATGTGTTTGAGTAGGCTAAACTAGCTAGCTGCATTTGCTAGCTAAGTAAGTGAAAGTGAAAAAAATATATGTATATAGCTAGCTCTCTAAGAAATTAATTTGTTTGAAACTGTTCAACTATTGTCTTTCTCTCTCTTTGAGTAAACTACTCAACACATGTTATGCACTGCAGATCTAGCTAGCTGTAGGTTATGCTTTCAGTACTAGATTCATTCTCTGATCCTTTGATTGGGTGGACAACATGTCAGTTCATGCTGCAAGAGCTCTGATAGGTTGGAGGATGTCCTCCGGAAGTTGTCATAATTACTGTGTAAGTCTATGGAAGGGGGCGAGAACCACGAGCCTCCTAGGTTTGATATTGAAGTCAATGTACCCAGAGGAGGGGGGGGGGTGCTGGCTTTGTGAGCGGCGGTGTGGGGGAACGGATGATCTCCGCATGTGTAGTTCCCACCGTGAAGCATGGAGGAGGTGGTGTGATAGTACTTGCTGGTGACACGGTCTGTGATTTATTTAGAATTCAAGGCACACTTAACCAGCATGGCTACCACAGCATTCTGCAGCGATACACCATCCCATCTGGTTTGGGCTTAGTGGGACTATTATTTGTTTTTCAACAGGACAATGACCCAACAAACCTCCAGGCTGTGTAAGGGCTATTTGACCAAGGAGAGGGATGGAGTGCTGCATCAGATGACCTTGCCTTCACAATCCCCCGACCTCAACCCAATTGAGATGGTTTGGGATGTGTTGGACTGCAGAGTGAAGGAAAAGCAGCCAACGTGTGCTCAGCATATGTGGGAAACTCCTTTGAGACTGTTGGAAAAGCATTCCTCATGAAGCTGGTTGAGAGAATGCCAAGAGTGTGCAAAGCTGTCATCAAGGCAAAGGGTGGCTACTTTGAAGAATCCCAAATAAAATATATTTTGATTTGTTTAACACTTTTTTTGTTACATGATTCCATGTGTTATTTCATAGTTTTGATGTCTTCACTATTATTCTACAATGTAGAAAATAGTACAAAATAAAGAAAAACCCTTGAATGAGTAGGTGTCCAAACTTTTGACTGGTACTGTATACAAATACAGTGAGGGAAAAAAGTATTTGATCCCCTGCTGATTTTGTACGTTTGCCCACTGACAAAGAAATGATCTGTCTATAATTTTAATGGTAGGTTTATTTGAACAGTGAGAGACAGAATAACAACAACAAAATCCAGAAAAACGCATGTCCAAAATGTTATAAATTGATTTGCATTTTAATGAGGGAAATAAGTATTTGACCCACTCTCAATCAGAATGATTTCTGGCTCCCAGGTGTCTTTTATACAGGTAACGAGCTGAGATTAGGAGCACACTCTTAAAGGGAGTGCTCCTAATCTCAGTTTGTTACCTGTATAAAAGACACCTGTCCACAGAAGCAATCAATCAATCAGATTCCAAACTCTCCACCATGGCCAAGACCAAAGAGCTCTCCAAGGATGTCAGGGACAAGATTGTAGACCTACACAAGGCTGGAATGGGCTACAAGACCATCGCCAAGCAGCTTGGTGAGAAGGTGACAAGTTGGTGCGATTATTCGCAAATGGAAGAAACACAAAATAACTGTCAATCTCCTTCGGCCTGGGGCTCCATGCAAGATCTCACCTCGTGGAGTTGCAATGATCATGAGAACGGTGAGGAATCAGCCCAGAACTACACGGGAGGATCTTGTCAATGATCTCAAGGAAGCTGGGACCATAGTCACCAAGAAAACAATTGGTAACACACCACGCCGTGAAGGACTGAAATCCTGCAGCGCCCGCAAGGTCCCCCTGTTCAAGAAAGCACATATACAGGCCCGTCTGAAGTTTGCCAATGAACATCTGAATGATTCAGAGGAGAACTGGGTGAAAGTGTTGTGGTCAGATGAGACCAAAATCGAGCTCTTTGGCATTAACTCAACTCACCGTGTTTGGAGGAGGAGGAATGCTGCCTATGACCCCAAGAACACCATCCCCACCGTCAAACATGGAGGTGGAAACATTATGCTTTGGGGATGTTTTTCTGCTAAGGGGACAGGACAACTTCACCGCATCAAAGTGACGATGGACGGGGCCATGTACAGTCAAATCTTGGGCGAGAACCTCCTTCCCTCAGCCAGGGCATTGAAAATGGGTTGTGGATGGGTATTCCAGCATGACTATGACCCAAAACACACGGCCAAGGCAACAAAGGAGTGGCTCAAAAAGAAGCACATTAAGGTCCTGGAGTGGCCTAGCCAGTCTCCAGACCTTAATCCCATAGAAAATCTGTGGCGGGAGCTGAAGGTTCGGGTTGCCAAACGTCAGCCTCGAAACCTTAATGACTTGGAGAAGATCTGCAAAGAGGAGTGGGACAAAATCCCTCCTGAGATGTGTGCAAACCTGGTAGCCAACTACAAGTCTGACCTCTGTGATTGCCAACAAGGGTTTTGCCACCAAGTACTAAGTCATGTTTTGCAGAGGGGTCAAATACTTATTTCCCTCAATAAAATGCAAATCAATTTATAACATTTTTGACATAAGTTTTTCTGGATTTTGTTGTTGTTATTCTGTCTCTCACTGTTCAAATAAACCTACCATTAAAATGATAGACTGATCATGTCTTTGTCAGTGGGCAAACGTACAAAATCAGCAGGGGACCAAATACTTTTTTCCCCTCACTGTATATATTTGTTTTATTGTTGGACAGCAAAAATCAGCTGCATGTGATTTAAATGTGAAAGTATGGTCCAAAGTATTCCCACCCATAATTTAGAGATATGTGTTCGTATACAAATGTAAGCAAGGTTTGAAATTATTACGTTTTAGTGAAATATTAGATCGGTTTGGGCTTTTTGGGTCAATTTGCAGTCTTCAAATTATTTGTAATTATGTTCCTGCTGTCTGACCATCCGCTCAAGACCAAAATCGGCCCGCAGCGGAATCTAGTTGATGATCCCTGTTCTAGACTAATACTCTATACATTGGCAATGAGTTCATTCAAACCACACCACATAAACACCACCCTTCTCGGCCTATTGCCATGTCTTTTCAAACAATTAGATTTTTTTTTTTAAATACACAAAGCACCCTTTATAACTTCTTTCCATTCATTCAGTTTTCTTTCATTTATTTTCTCTGCAGCTGAACAGCACACACTGTCAAAGAGCCCAGAGATTAACTGAAGTAATCTCTGGATCACCTCATAATCGGCTGCCAACCCACATATCACATATAAAAATGCAACATGAAAATATTTGTTCCCACAAAAAAAGTCTAATTATACATGAATTAATCCTGTAAAAACAAAAGTACCAAGTGTACAGAATAAATAGTATATCAAGATAAAAGCAGCAGAACAATCTGTGTTACCCTCCTTGGCACAGCTAGCAGACTGACTGCAGCCACCCTTACAAAATGTACCCAGAGTTCTTCCTCTAGCCTCAGAGATCAACTCTGAGCATTTAACGGTTCTTGAGTCATCCACCAGGATTTAACAGAAGGGAATATAAAGTGAGTGTTCTGTCCGCTGACCAGTAGAAAGACCACCCAGTGGTCTGAACGGAATACAATTTCTCCAACAGAGCTGGTTTGGATGAGTAGGTTCAGATGTCAATTACAAACTGGGCATCATCAGCTGTAGGGACAGAAGAGAGAACACAAGTCAGCTTTGTGGACATATCCTTTCCTGAATTTCCAAGAAGCTATGCACACTGATAGAGCCCTTTCTGGCACGTGCAACCTAAATGGGGTGGTCACAAGATATGCAGCACAAGGCTTGGCCAGCAGCTTGACAGATTTTTGTTTGCTTTTCTCATGGAGCGGTTCACCTTGAAACTTGGCCTAGTGCTGGTACAAAAAAGTCAAAACACACACAAACTGACTGGTTTGCACACTAGGTGAGAGTCTGGCCATTTGCCACCTCATACACACTGCACTGATGACAATAGGCCTATGTACCTTCCTTATCTGAAATAAAGTACTTATTAACATCCGCCTGAACCAAGCCACCTGTCCCCTCATATTTATTTGTGAAATTTAAGGAGACAGAAAAATTAGGCAAGTTAGGGAGGAGAGACATCAGAACATCATCTGAATACACGATAGAGTAAATCTAGTGACAGGGACTGAATGACAAGAAGATACTGTATTTTTATCTCAGGATATAAACAAATGCACCGTGAAACAAATGTATAGTTCTCCTAGACACATTTCAGACATAAGCAACTGCTTTCTGTTTCCCTTCACTGTGAACTATTACGACGGAATGAGTGCAATTACTTAATTAACTGTCCTTGCACCGCTTCTAAGAACAAAACAAGTTAAAACCTGTTCCAAGTTTTTCTTAGAGGAGCCCTGAAAAGGTGTTATTTTGAGTTGCTCAGTAGGTGCGCACCTGCACACAAAAGCACATACGGTATCTGCTACAAAGCCATGTGGGAGATGAGTCCACACGGCTTTGGGAGAGCAGGTGACCAAAAGGCCTGGCTGGGGCAAGAGGCTAGTGGGTCTCATAGGGTATTCAGTACTCACTGTTAGTATAAGGGCTTACCTGAGAAGTCTTTGTTCTCCTCCATCTCCTTCAGCTTGCCCAGAGGGTGCAGGGCCGGCACCGTGACCCCTGGGATATGGGGGAGGCAGCATGGGGGGGTGCGCGCGATCGGTGAATTCCGACACTCCAGCAGGACCTTTCTGTCATAGATGATCCTGGTTCCTGTAATGATAACAAAGGGCTTAAAGTGTCTCTCAGAGAGAAAACACAGACAGTAGTACCAGTCATGAGGTGCAGCAGTGTGTCTAGATCATGAGGTATTCTTGTGCACAATAGTTATCCAATGGACTATTAGTGCAGGCTACATAGAAAAATAGGAGGTCTTTACTTTCAATCCTGTACTTTTCCCATTTTGCACTCACTGTATCTGGTCATAAAAGGCAGGGAAAACATGTTATGCAACTCAACTCCTGAGACTGCAGTGTGTCCTGAACAGAAGGGGTAGACTAGGGAGGGGGGGTCCAAAGGCTGGAGTTCTGCACCTACACTACAAAGATCCCCTCAGTGATTCCAAGTATAAGCGCTCACAATTATCTGATCCTGATCATGCACTACTAGGCAACTATCAGAGAACCTGCTGATCCGACATATTTCATATACTGTACTGATAACAGAAGCATAATACAAATCACACCTATGTACCTGTTGTCATACAGTTATTCATTACTCTCTGGATCTCAATCCCCTCAGTTTTCCCTGAAAGGCTGCTGATTTATCCTCCTCACACACATAGCTTCCAATTGGCTCATTCATCCCTCTTCCTCTCCCCTGTAACTAATCCCCAGGTCGTAGCTGTAAATGAGAATGTGTTCTCAGTCAACTCACCTGGTAAAATAAGGGTTAAACGTACACTCCCACAGATCTTGACAGATAATTTAATCTGTAATTGATTGATCCAAACAATAAACGGATGCAGCTAAAATTATGGAAACAGGTCAAAGTGCATTTAATGCAATAGGAATGTAAGTACTGTACATAAGTTCGTAAAAACAAAATGGCACAAAAGCGGCACAGAGCTCCTGATGTCTATCTTTAGGTACTGGTGCTTTATTCTCCAAACTAGTAGCTACAGTACAATCCAAGGCATATCAGTGTGTTTTTCAATATCAGAGGCATCATGCCCTCAGATTTGTCCTGTTTAAAAAAATAAAAATAATAAAAAAAATGTTGGTTTCCCTGTAATACTACTAGCCACCGAGCAACTTTATGAAGTTGGCTTTTGCTAGCACAGATTGGTTACCAATCTCCCAACCTCATACAGTGAGGGAAAAAAGTATTTGATCCCCTGCTGATTTTGTACGTTTGCCCACTGACAAAGACATGATCAGTCTATAATTTTAATGGTAGGTTTATTTGAACAGTGAGAGACAGAATAACAACAAAAAAATCCAGAAAAACGCATGTCAAAAATGTTATAAATTGATTTGCATTTTAATGAGGGAAATAAGTATTTGACCCCTCTGCAAAACATGACTTAGTACTTGGTGGCAAAACCCTTGTTGGCAATCACAGAGGTCAGACGTTTCTTCTAGTTGGCCACCAGGTTTGCACAAATCTCAGGAGGGATTTTGTCCCACTCCTCTTTGCAGATCTTCTCCAAGTCATTAAGGTTTCGAGCCTGATGTTTGGCAACTCGAACCTTCAGCTCCCTCCACTGAATTTCTATGGGATTAAGGTCTGGAGACTGGCTAGGCCACTCCAGGACCTAAATGTGCTTCTTCTTGAGCCACTCCTTTGTTGCCTTGGCCGTGTGTTTTGGGTCATTGTCATGCTGGAATACCCATCCACGACCCATTTTCAATGCCCTGGCTGAGGGGAAGGAGGTTCTCACCCAAGATTTGACGGTACATGGCCCCGTCCATCATCCCTTTGATGCGGTGAAGTTGTCCTGTCCCCTTAGCAGAAAAACACCCCCAAAGCATAATGTTTCCACCTCCATGTTTGACGGGGGTTGGGTCATAGGCAGCATTCCTCCTCCTCCAAACACGGCGAGTTGAGTTGATGCCAAATTTTGGTCTCATCTGACCACAACACTTTCACCCAGTTCTCTGAATCATTCAAACGGCCCTGTATATGTGCTTTCTTGAGCAGGGGGACCTTGCGGGCGCTGCAGGATTTCAGTCCTTCACGGCGTAGTGTGTTACCAATTGTTTTCTTGGTGACTATGGTCCCAGCTGCCTTGAGATCATTGACAAGATCCTCCCGTGTAGTTCTGGGCTGATTCCTCACCGTTCTCATGATCATTGCAACTCCACGAGGTGAGATCTTGCATGGAGCCCCATAGCCAGTAGAATTGACAGTTTATTTTGTGTTTCTTCCCATTTGCGAATAAACGCACCATGATCATTTTTTTGTCAGTGGGCAAACGTACAAAATCAGCAGGGGATCAAATACTTTTTTCCCCTCACTGTAACTATACTGAACAAAAATATAAAATGCAACATTTTCAAAGATTTTACTGAGTTACAGTTCATTTAAGGAAGTCAGTCAATTGAAATAAATTCATTAGGCCCTAATCTATGGATTTCACATGACTGGGCAGGGGTGCAGCCATGGGTGGGCCTTGGAGGGCATAGGCCCATCCACTGGGGAGCCAGGCCCAGCCAATCAGAATGAGTTTTCCTCCACAAAATGGCTTCATTACAGACAGAAATACTCCTCAGAATTCCCCCCACCCCCCTCAAACAATCCTGCAGGTGAAGAAGCCAGATGTGGAGGTCCTGGGCTGGCGTGATTACACGTGGTCTGTGGTTGTGAGGCCAGTAAAACAACATTGGAGGCAGCTTATGGTAGAGAAATGAAGATTAAATTCTCTGGCAACAGCTCTGGTGGACATTCCTGCAGTCAGCATGCCAATTGCACCCTCCCTCAAAATTTTGACATCTGTGGCATTGTGTTGTGTGACAAAACTGCACATTTTAATGTGGCCTTTTATTGTCCCCAGCACAAGGTGCACCTGTGTAATGACATGCTGTTTTATCAGCTTCTTGATATGCCACACCTGTCAGGTGGATAGATTATCTTAGCTAAGGATAAATGCTCACTAACAGGGATGTTAACTAATTTGTGCACAAAATGAGAGAAATAACCTTGTGCATATGGAACATTTCTGGGATTTTTTATTTCAGCTCATGAAACATGGGACCAACACTTTACATGTTGCGTTTATATTTTTGTTCAGTGTAGCTATCAAGTTAGAGTAGCTAGCTTGTCTAACCATCTTAGCTGGCATGCCTGCTGGCAAGGTTGGTAGACTTTAGAAAAGCAGGCAATAACTAAATGTACTGAATAAGACTCACATTCCTTTCAATCTTCTACCCAGATTTTAGCAGAGAAGCATATTTAGTTTTTTTTTAAATAGAACCACCAATCAGGAGGATACAGACAGCTCAAGAGGTATGCTTAGATATGCAGAAAGACATTGACATAGAATTAAGCATATGCTTATGACTCTAGATAAGTCGTTTCAGGTGTTTGAAAAATGAAAAAGCCCCCCTCCCAGCCATCCTCACCTACTTTGTGCCCCCTCAGATTGTGGTGCATGACGCCCCTGTTCAATATGCCAAGTAGTTGGCAGAATTCCGTTATTTTTGCATAACTTACCTCCAGGCGTCGTGGAGAACAGGGTGCCTCCGGGCGTCTGACTGTAGGGCAGCTGAGACCAGTCTTTCGACTGCTCAACGCGACTGGGAATAGGGCAGTTAAGGCCTACGCTGTTGTTACAGTTAGAAGACATTGCAGAAAGTGGATGAATAAACAAATAAGTTATATAATAAGGAAAAGTTTCAAAAACAAAAAAAGCCTCGGCAAATTATTGCTGATCGATGTCAACTCTGGCCTGTAGTCTACTAATGCTGCACCAACTCTAAAGTTTGTCTGGAAACACGGGACCGCAGGGAGACACACACCACCTCAAGACTGACATACTCAGTGTTCTCTGAGAGCCACATGCAGGTGTTTATGAAGAAGTTGCTGATGGGAGGCGTGGTTTAGTTTCGGGCGTCGCAATCACACCTCACTACGTTATGATAGAACTGCGCAAAAAGAAATTTTACAGCTCACAATAACATTGTTGACTCAGTATGAACTGAAATGAACCAAGTCCCATGATTTAACGGGGCAGGCAGACCGGTTAGATATGTGTACAATGTAAATGAGGACTAGGACATAGCAGGACAGAAAGTTCGCATCTAAACCTGACGCAATACCCCCTCCCCCCAAATCGCTTGATGTCCCCTATTTATTTGTCTATGTGATGTCGTGACAATGTTATTCAGTGTTATATCATCCACGAATGCTTTATTTTCTCAGATTGCGTGACAGTGGTCTCTCATTAAATGTCATTCCCAGTCAATCTTGGTTTAGATGCGTTAAATGTCATTCCCAGTCAAATGTTGTTTAAAAAAAATACAAGTTACTCAAACATCTTCAGCCTTACTGGTTTACAATCACAATGAGTACATGCAATTCAAAATCAAGGCAGATGAGCCATAATCCATTTAAACAGGATAACGAGATACTGTAGTAATCTGTCAAAACATACTGAGCATTTGGGTTTTATCTGGGGAGACAATTTATTGCTGGTGGGGATCTATTGAATGTAAAATAATTGTCAGACTGCAGTCTCTGGTGGAAACTTCTCGAGGCATGCAAGACGATAAATAGCACCCCCTGCCAGAACATTCAGTCAGTGAGTGATGACATCATCATGAGTAAACATGACAGAAACCTACTACTTAAATAGAGAAGACAGAACAAGGGCACTTCAAATCAACAAGTGTATGGAGAATCATGAGGTGTATGATGTCATGAGGTTAATACAATATGAATAAAAGGCAAAAAAAAGGTACAGTTCCATATTTTTTTATTGAATATTAAGGTAAATATTTCACATTAATACAGGCTACATAAAGTAGAGCCACTATACGACATGAAATGTACTCTCATTTGAACCCTTTTTAGTATGTAAACAATTATACATGTATTTACCACTCTAAAAGGTCTGATTTATCTCTATGTTTTCACTTAGTTATTGGGCTGAGTATAAATAGCGTACAGTCCTGTAGAGCCCTGCAGACCAAGAATAATTCATGTGGGGCTTTTAAAGTCAAAATAATGGCTATACTACGCAGAGAATGGATCCTGTTGAACAGGCAAATCGGTTTGTTCATAGACATTGGTAAACACGTTACAGCCCACACAGTCTTTTTAGTTAGGCACATCAAAATGGTGTCCAACCATCCAATTCCTCCTTTCTGGACACTCCCTAGGTTAATATCGTTGAATATTATGTAATTATCTGGTTCTCTTAAACGTGTATGCGTCTTGTTACTGGTCCTATGCTTTGATGGCCGCACGTGTTTAGTTGACATGATTCAGGTGCACATTCCCAACGTGCGGGGCCCAAGTCCAAGGCCAGATCTGAAACGACACGTTTTCATCACTTAGCTATAAAACCACAACAGTGAGGAATGAGTAATGGTGAAAATAAGTGAAGAATGTTTATGGGAGTGCTTACCTGCTGTGGGTCTGAGTTATCTGCAGAGTTGGAGACCACCTTCAAGACAGGGTTCCAGGCTGGGTCAGCGTTATGGAGCCCGTTGTACACGGGGCCCCCGGGGGCCTCTCCCATAGGAGGGTGGGGAGGAATCATCGTCCCGCCATACATTGACATTGGCAAACCCTCGAAAGGACAATGAGAGAGAAGAGGTAAACATTTTGTTTTTGTGATAGATGTCATTGGATCACTTGGACCAGGAGATCTTTGCATCAACTATTTAGCGTTGTCCGTTACCTTTGGGAAGTCCATAAAGTTGGTGTGCATGGGCTGATTGAAGGTGTTGGAGGGGTTCACGATGCCAGTGTCATCCCGCTCCATGGCCTGGTGCTGGGAGAAAGCACTCTGCTCCTGCATCTGCTGGTGCATCACGTGACCGCCCATCAGTGGCTGAGACCAGCCCGACATCGCCTCTGAAGGTGGAGGGTAAGAGGAGGGGAGGACTGAGATTTTGGATCGTGTGAGAGTTAAAAGTCATGTTAAAAACATTTACACAGAAGACATTCACAATATATTTCAAAGCCTTATAATAAACATCTTAAAACACTTTTAAGTTATCAGTTCTACAACTATCCATTGCACACTAACCCCATCCACCTTTCCCCTGAACACTCACCAGAAGCACTGCCCACTCCAAAGGACCAGATGCCCCCCTGTCCGACAGGCGGCGTGTAGCTGGTGGTGAGCATGGCGTGGTTGACGGAGCCCGTCTGGCGGATACGTGCCAGGCGCTCAGTGCCAATGGGAGGGGGCACCTTGCGGTCTTGCTGGCTATTGCTGCTGGGCTTAGCCTGGATCAGAGCTGGGGTCACCATGGACGTACAGAGGGTAGACGAGACCCCAGACGACACAGAGGGCACTGGGGACTCACCTGAGGAAGGGGCAAAGGCTTGGCTTGTTAACTTTCCAAATGCTAGATTATTCAAATACTTAGGATAAAATAAGATTAAATCATTTTATTTGGCTACATTTACTTTCATTCTTTTCCAAGTGACTGTGTCTGTGTCCCACCATGACAGTAGACATTGAAGCGAATGTACTTTGTTTACAAAGGGGAACCACAGTACATCTATGAAGGAGCGGCCCAGTTCCCTCTCCCTGTGTTGTGTTCTTACAGGAGGTGGAGGCGCTCCAGGGGTGAGGGGAGAAGTGCTGGCGGCTGAAGGAGGGCGTGCCCACCGGGGCTGGACCCTGCAGGTACACTGGACTGCAAGAGATACTGGTGGCAAAGCTGGTCAGAGCAGCAGACGAAGAGATGGAGTTTCCCGACGGGTCCATTGGGTGCATTCCTGAAACAAAGAGTTCAACTGACCTGGTTAAATTATGTAGGCACAAACCACTGTAATAAACGGAACTAGTCTGTCTATATACAGGTAACTGCCAAAATAAAGGAAGCAGTTGAGTAACTAAATTAGGGTTCTGGCGGCTCTTATGGTGCATTTTCCTTGCATGGGTTAGGTCCGCTTAAAGGGCAAGGTAAATGCCAATAAATACACAGCCATTCTGAGGGATCAACTTCAACCTATGGTGAATCATTTCTATCCTGATGGGAGTGGTCTCTTCCAGGATGACAATGCTCCCATCCACAGGGCACAAGTGGTCACTGAATGGTTTTTATGAGCATGAAAACTATGTAAACCTTATGCCATGGCCGTCTCAGTGACCAGATCTCAACCCAATTGAAGACTAATGGGAGAGCGGGGGCTGAGACAGTGTTTTCCCCCACCATCAACAAAAAAACTAATTATGGAATTTATTGTGGAAGAATGGTGTCGCATCCCTCCAATACAGTTCCAGACACTTGTAGAATCTATGCCAGGGCGCATTGAAGCTGTTCTGGTGGCTAGTGGTGGCCAACGCCCTATTAAGACACTTTAATGTAAGTGTTTCCTTTATTTTGGCAGTTCCTGTGTGTGTGTGTGTGTATATATATATATATATATATATATATATATATATATATATATATATATATATATATATATATATATATATATATATGATGAGTACTACTTTGTGGAATCAGTCGATTTTTTGTTTCTATGGAACAAAAGTATTGTCTTGGAGTTGGGCTACATGGAGTTATATCTGTGTGTGGTGGAGTCTCTATGGTCCTTGTTGCTTACCGATGGGACTGGTGACAATCCTCTGGGTGTCACAGCGGTACCCTGGTGCCTTGGAGCCATCAGGAGGGGGCATCACGTTCTCCATCTGTCCCATGCCCCCCATATAGGCCGGCGGAGCGGTGTAGGGCTGCTCAGGAGGGGTCCGGGCAGGCAGGTGACATGCTCCCCACACCTGGTTGTTGCCCACCTGGTTGCTGTCGAACATGCTGCTGAAATGGTTGAAGAGGGCAGTGGGGCCGTAGTTGGGGGGCAGCTGCTGGGCCTTGACCCCGTGGATGTGCATCTGGGAGCCGTTCATCATGCCCATGTTGGAGGACATCTGCTGCTGCATGGAGGGGGGTGCCATGCCATGGTTGGCATGCTGCTGCTGCTGTTTCTGATGTTGCTCCTGGGATGCTCCAGAGGGTACAAATACAGACTGGTGCTCCTGTGGAGATGCCCCAGCTGCCATGGGGTAGAACTGGGCCGAGGGCTGCTTGCGTGAGGGAGCAGGCGGTGCGTAGTGAGGTAAGGTGCTGCTGGTGTGTGTGACCGTGCTGCCCCCTGCTGGTGCAGAGCGAGACGTGGGCAGGAGGGAGCCGGGAGGTTGGGTGGCCGGGAGGCTGGGCTCTGTGCTGGAGGAGAAGGGGAGGGGCAGCTGCTGCTGTCGGCTATCTGGCTGCTGGGAGGGCAGTGGTGGTGGAGCTGTGGGAGCTGTGAAGTGCATGGAGACGGTGGAGTTGGAGCCTTCAGATGCTCCACCTTGGACAGGTGCCGCTGTGTCTGGAGGGGACTTCTCTTTACCAGGCGTGGCGCTGCCAGCAGGCTCTGGCTTGGAAACCGGCAGCTGCAGTGCAGGCGGGGCGATGGACGAAGCAGGGGAGGGTGGGGTAGAGGGAGTGGTGTGAGATGCTGCGGCCACCTGCGTAGCGGGCGCACCACTCATGGTCGAGGTGACCGCTGCCATGCTGGCTGTCTTTGGTTCGCCAGAAAAGAGCTGCTTCCTGGCGGAGGAGGGCATGGGGGTGCCAGAGGGTGCAGAGCTGGGGGGCGAGGCGGTGGCTGCATGGCCTGCTATTGAGGCAGGGGCTGTGTACTCTGGATGGACAGCGGAGGCAGGCAAGGACCGGGGAGCAGTGGTCCCGTTGTGCTTGGGAGAGCTGTTAGTGCTGCCGGGGCTGACGGGACGCACCGGGAACGGGCCCCAGGTGTTGGGAGACGGAGAGAAGGTGCCACCGAACTGTGCCATAGGCAGGCGCGGGTGTCGGATGTGGTGCATGGTCTGGGCGGCCAGCAGGGCCAGGTGGGGGTTGGCGTACGCCAGAGGAAGTGAAACGAAGGGGGGCCTCACTCCGGGAGACAGGTTCTTCCCCATCTTCCCTCCCTGTTGAGAGACTGAGGACGACTGGAAGGACACAGCGGACGACGGCAACACTGATGACAGGCCCTTGGAGCCGGCCGCCGTAGTGTTGGTGGCCCCTGTGGAGGTGGTGTAGGTGGAGCCCATCTTGGTGCTGGTGCCAGGGGCGCGGATGTGGTTTCTGGGGATCAGGTCCTCCAGCTCCTTGGCTGGGTCCTGGATCAGGGAGCTGATCAGCTGCACGGCGTGTCGAGTCGACTCTGTGCCACCTCTGAAAGACCAGAGGGAAAGGAAGAAAAGCAGGTGAGTGTCAAGACAGTAAAAATGACTATAATATGAAATGATATACTGACAGACTGTTCTGTGAAAGCAGTAGACAGTGGGCTGGTCTAACCTGATGGTGATCATCCTCTCTCCATTCTTGTCCTTCTGTTTGTCTACGTCGATGTGAGCACCGGTCACATCCTGAATGGCAGTGATATTACAGCCACCTCTGCCCATGATCCGAGACACCACAGAGGCAGGCACCGACAGCTTCTTAGACCTGACAAAACACACATAAGCAATTCGATTAATATATGTGTCATATGGCTTTACATAACACAACTATGTAGTAGATACCAGTGGCTGTTGACTGTAAATTCCAAACTAAAGCTAGGGAGATGTTAAACAGGGACATACTGTACTCCTACTACTGTCTTTATGGGTAAAAGTAACAGCAGTAGCCATTGTTTGATTTGAGGCACATTTCTGTGAGCCAACCCACCTTCGCACCACCTCCTTCCAACCTTCTTCTCTCTTCTGGCCCCTCTTGGGGCTGGTGAGGTTCATCTTGCTGATGGGCGAGGTGACTGGCAATGAAATGGTTCTGAACGAGGAGGGAAGGGAGCTGGGCGTCAAGTCGTTTACGTAGTCATGGATTCTGAGAAGAAAGAATACGGACTAATAAACTTAAGAGAACCCTGCGGTGTACCTAAAACAATTCAGATGGAAGAATCCTGCATGTGTTTTTCTACATTTTGCACTAAAGCCAGAGAAAACACAAACTACCAAATATTCTATTTTTACCACTAAAGCAGTATACTAGTTAAAGGACTAACAAAAGCTTCAACTTTTAGTTTGGATACACATCAGTTGAGCAAAAAAGATGAGCCACTTACTTCTGGTGTGGTTTGGAGATGGACACAGTGACCTTGTCATCTCGGGAGCTGTGCAGCGAGGTGCACTGCCTCTTCTCAGGGACCGGCTGGGGCTGCTGGCTCACCACCGAAGGAGCAGACGATGAAGAGCAGGAGGATGAGGAAGACGAAGAGGGCAGGTCCGGTAGGTAGTTGAGTTCCAGGCTCTTTCCTCCGCTGCTGCTCTCGCTGTTGCAGTCGGTGCTGTCCAGGTTGTCCGAGTCGCTTCCACCCGGAACCCCGCCACCCCTGGGCTCCCCGTGGATCTTGTTTTTGTCAGCCTTCTGGTGAGCCAGCGCCACCTGGGGGTCCTGCAGGATGATGGGCTCGCTGGGGGAGTCCTTGGTCTTGTTCTTCTTGTTCTTGCGGTTGGTGCTGGGCGTGGTCGTCACGTTGGCTCGTTTCTTGCCGAAGGCGTTGGTGAAGGTGCTGGAGGTGGCAGAGATGCCAATGGTGGTGGTGGTGGTAGCGCTGGGAGGGTCAATGGGGATATCCCCGTCTACATAGACCATGAGACAAGGAAGGAAAAGGTTATTTACCCTTATTTAACCATTGTAAATTAACTTAAATTATTTTTAAACGCACTTAAGAAAGATGCTGGATGGCTTTGTCTCAGTTGAGATTTACACTGAACAAAAATATAAACGCAACATGTAAAGTGTTGGTACCATGTTTCATGAGCTGAAATAAAATATTGGCAGGCTGGCTGCAGGAATGTCCATCAGAGCTGTTGCCAGAGAACTGAATGTTCATTTCTATACCATAAACCGCCTCCAACGTCGTTTTAGAAAATTTGGCAGTACGTCCAACCGGCCTCACAACCGCAGACCACATGTATGGCGTGTGGGCAAGCAGTTTGCTGATGTCAACGTTGTGAACAGAGTGCCCCATGGTGGCGTTAGGGTATGGGCTACGGACAACGAACACAATTGTATTTTATTGATGGCAATTTGAATGCACAGAAATACCCTGTGACGAAATCATGAGGCCCATTATTTTTAAAGGTATCTGTGATCAGACGCATATTTGTATTCCCAGTCATGTGAAATTCCATTGATTAGGGCCTAATGAATTTATTTCAATTGACTGGTTTCCTCATATGAACTGAAACTCAGTAAAATCGTTGAAATTGTTGCATGTTGCGTTTATATTTGTGTTCAGTATATTCTTCTTTCAGTTAAGAACATCATTGGGAAATAATAAAATGTGTAGCTTGTTTAATTGTGACTTCAATATCCCTTCAGTCACGCAGACAGACAGCGACAGATATAGTTTATCTAGTAAAAAGGTCATCTTAAACAGCAATTCAATGCTGATATCAGTAGCTGGATTACGCTATTAGAGGCTGTAAAGGTTGAGCTGGTAAAAAGGTGCTCACCCTCGGAGGAGTCTTGGTCCTGGTCCTGTAACTCCAGGTCCTCCTCCTTTACTTTGACCTCTTCCTCCTCCAGCTTCCTCTTCTGCTCTTCCTTCTTCTTCTTGCGTTTCTCCTTACGCTTCTCACGCTTAGCAGCCAGGGCTTGCTTCTTACTCTCCTCCCTGGACTATAAGCAAAAACAGATGATTACAATATCTACAAAGACCTGTAAATCCATACAGATAAATGAGCAGAAGGTTTTTTTAAGTGTCCCAAATGACACCCTATTCCCTATTTAGTGTACTACTTTTGACCAGGACACATAAGTAGTGGGTCATTCTACAGAAGTGGTGCAAATCGGGGTTGGAAAAAATGTTTATATTTGTATCCAATTTTTCCCAAATCTTCAGCATGCATGTCTTCAACATATGTCAGGTAGACATCCAGTGCCTTCAGAAGTATTCATACCACTTGACTTATTCCACATTGTTGTGTTACAGCCTGAATTCAAAATGGGTTGAATATATTTCTCTCACCTATCTACACACAATACCCACATAATGACAAAGTGAAAACATGTTTTTAGACATTGTTGCACATTTATTGAAAATGAAATACAGAAATCTCATTTACATAACTATTCACACCCGAGTTAATACTTTGTAGAAACACCTTAGGCAGCAATTACAGCAGTGAGTCTTTCTGGGTAAGTCTCTAAGAGCTCTCCACACCTGGATTGTGCAACGTTTGCCAATTATTATTTTCAAAATTCTTCAAGCTCGGTTAAATTGGTTGTTGATCATTGCTAGACAACCATTTTCAGGTCTTGCCATAGCTTTTCAAGTAAATTTAAGTCAAAACTGTAACTCGGCCACTCAGGAACATTAATTGTCTTCTTGGTAAGCAACTACAGTAGATTTGGCATTGTGCTTTAGGTTATTGTCCTGCTGAAAGGTGAATTAATCTCCCAGTGTCTGGTGGAAAGCAGACAACCAGGTTTTCCTCTAGGATTTTGCCTGTGCTTAGCTCCATTCCGTGTTTTTTTTTAAATCATGAAAATCCCCCACATTACCATTGCTACCAACATATGCAGCCCCACATGCTTGAAATATGGGAGTGTACCATTAATTTACTTTTTCATTTAGCATACGCTCTATCAGAGCATACAGTGTGATACATTTTTTTTTTATAATGGCCCCCTGGGATCGAACCCAACCCTGCGTGCAAACGCCATGCCTATCAATGAGCACTCCTGCCAATTCCCCCCCTACCCTATGGGCCATTGCGACGCCCATGGTCTCCCGGCGCGCCACGCTCCGCCCATTAAGACTTAGTGGTAGTTATGCGATGTGTATATTTGCCCCAAACATAACACTTATAAAGATAATTGCTTTGCCACATTTACTTTAGTGCCTTGTTGTAAACAGGATACATGTTTTGTAATATTATTATTCTGTACATGCATTCTTCTTTTCACTCTGTCAATTAGGTTAGTATTGTGGAGTAACTACAATGTTGATCCATCAGTTTTTTCCCATCACAGCCATTAAACTCGAACTGTTTTAAAGTCACCATTGGCCTCATGGTGAAATCCCTGAGCGGTTTCCTTCCTCTACGGCAACTGAGATAGGAAGGACGCCTGTATCTTTGTAGTGACTGGGTGTATTGACACATCATCCAAAGTGTAATGAATAACTTCACCATGCTCAAAGGGATACTCAATGTCTGCTTTTTTTGTTTTTCATCTACCAATAGGTGCCCTTCTTTGCGAGGCATTGGAAAAACATCCCTGCTCGACTGAGGGACCTTACAGATAATTGTATGTGTGGGGTACAGAGAGGAGGTAGTCATTACAAAAACATGTCCATGCAACTAATTGTGACTTGTTAAGCACATTTTTACTACTGAACTTATTTAGGCTTGCCAAAACAAAGGGGTTGAATAATTATTGACTCAAGACATTTCACCTTTTCATTTTTTATTAAATTTGTATTAAAGAAAAGTACAAAAATTAAATAAATAAAAATCCACTTTGACATTATGGGGTATTATGATTAAATGTAATCAATTTTAAATTCAGGCTGTAACACAACAAAATGTGGAAAAAGTCATGTGGAACACTTGTGATCGGACAGTGAGTCTTATGTAGAGCCACCATCATGCGCAACATGAGTGTCATGCGCATACAAAACATACATTTTTAAAGGCTTTCACAAAAAACTTTCCCAATTAAATGTTGACTGCAAAGAAAGCATACCTGGCAGAATGATATGATGGTTTGTGTCAATCGGGTGTTCATTCATTTTGCAAACTCTCCCATCACATGTCTAGTAGCCTACCAAAACACCCTAGCCAAACAACAGTCAATTGCAAGGTGGCAGTTTAATTAAAGGGGAACTACAGCAATTCGGTGGTCTATGATGTGGTTTAAGCATTGTTGTGAATATAGAACATCTATAGTTTTTCTATAAAAAGTGTGATTGAGGGAAATCCTGAAAAAAAAATCTGAACATTTTCTAAATCTGCAGTTTTCCATATGCCTACTTGTTATCCTTTATTTATGATTCATCTATATGATAATATTATTATTTTACATAGCCTGCCAGAATACACTGTTAGACAGTTTTAAAATACACTTTAATGGATTTGATTGGATTTTGTGTGTCGTATTTACAATCAAATTTTATTGGGAATTTTACAGGTTCAAAGTTCAAAGTTGCATAATGGACCAAAAAAAGCTGCCATACATCAATTTCAATCAATTTTATTTTATATAGCCCTTCTTACATCAGCTAATATCTCGAAGTGCTGTACAGAAACCCAGCCTAAAACCCCAAACAGCTAGTAATGCAGGTGGGCAGGTGTAATTAAAAGGGAAACTAAGAATGAGGGCCTATGAGGGTGGTTTGGCTTGCCTTGTGTGAGATATAGAACCATCTATAGTTTTCAAAAAGTGTTATGAGGAAATCCTGGTAAAAAATCTGAATCAAATCTGCAGGTTTTCCATAGCCACTTTACTTTAGAGATTCAAAACAGATTGGTTACAGTAGGGTGCCAAATACCGTAGACAGTTTAAAGAATACACTAAGGAGTGATGGAGCGAGTCGTGTCGTATTCCGACGAAATTTAGGGCATTACAGGTTCAGTTGGTTTCATAGCGACAAAAAAACGCCAGTCATGCTACTCATAAGATGAAATAAGGTAGATGAACAAATCCCATCCTCTCTGAAAATAAAAAGTGGAACCACAAAGCCAAGTTGGAGAACCAGCATGAAGACTAAAGACCCTAAAAGATATGATTAAATATTAAACAAAGGACGAAACTACAGTCGTGGTCAAAAGTATTGGCCTTCACAAAGTTCGCTGCTTCAGTGTTATGAGATATTTTTGTCAGATGTTACTATGGTATACTGAAGTATAATTACAAACATTCCATACGTGTCAAAGGCTTTTATTGACAATTACATTAAGTTTATGCAAAGAGTCAATATTTGCAGTGTTGACCCTTCTTTTTCAAGACCTCTGCAATCCGCCCTGGCATGCTGTCAATTAACTTCTGGGCCACATCCTGACTGATGGCAGCCCATTCTTGCATAATCAATGCTTGGAGTTGTGGGTTTTTGTTTGTCCACCCGCCACTTGAGGATTAATGGGATTAAGGTCTGGGGATTTTCCTGGCCATTGACCCAAAATGTCAATGTTCTGTTCCCCGAGCCCTTTATGGCAAGGTGCTCCATCATGCTGGAAAAGGCATTGGTCGTCACCAAACTGTTCTTGGATGGTTGGGAGAAGTTGCTCTCTGAGGATGTGTTAGTACCATTCTTTACTCATGGCTGTGTTCTTAGGCAAAATTGTGAGTGAGCCCACTCCCTTGGCTGAGAAGCAACCCCACACATGAATGGTCTCAGGATGCTTTATTGTTGGCATGACACAGGAATGATGGTAGCGCTCACCTTGTCTTCTCCGGACAAGGTGTTTTCCGGATGCCCCAAACAATCGGAAAGGGGATTCATCAGAGAAAATGACTTTACCCCAGTCCTCAGCAGTCCAATCCCTGTACCTTTTGCAGAATATCAGTCTGTCCCTGATGTTTTTCCTGGAGAGAAGTGGCTTCCTCGCTGCCCTTCTTGACACCAGGCCATCCTCCAAAAGTCTTCGCCTTACTGTGCATGCAGATGCACTCACACCTGCCTGCTGCCATTCCTGAGCAAGCTCTGCACTGGTGGTGCCCTGATCCCACAGCTGAATCAACTTTAGGAGACGGTTTTTAGTTTTTTGGGGATTATGTTAATTTTAATGGCAAAGAGGGACTTCGCAATTAATTGCAATTCATCTGATCACTCTTCATGACATTCTGGAGTGTATCATCAAAACTGAGGCAGCAGACTTTGTGAAAATTTGTATGTGTGTAATTCTCAAAACTTTTGACCACGACTGTACAAAACATATAGACATGACATGTCCCTTGCTATTAGTATGCTAAAAAAGAGGAACATTTCAAGCAAAGGGGGAGAAGGGCAGCAGCGGAAAAATGCCAGTGCTTCCCAGAATGCGGAAATTGAGAGCAAAGCGGAGAGAGGAAGCCCAGAGCAACCAAATATGAGTCAAGAAAACACTTACAGAATTATAGAAAAAGAAAGAACGCAAAGCTAGCTTTTAAAAAAAACGTGAAGTTAGGTCCAGAAGTTAGGTCAAAAGAGGAGTATGAAAGAAAAAGAAAAGAGATGGGAAAAACATTGTCAGGACTAAGAAAAGGCAAAGCAGAATGAAAAGGCAAAGCAGGTGAAAGCACAACAAGAGAAATTGGAGGCAAAGATAATTCATTTCAAGGAACTAGAGGATAAATTAGAACAGAGAAAGCAATTTGACCATTCTAAAAGAGCCTTGCAGACAGCAGTGCTAGATGTAAGGTTTCCATCTGCCAGAAGGAAGAACTTTCAAAGGGCTAAAGCCTGTATGCCAAAACAGGCAGCACAGTATGTCACTACTACCATGGACCTCATTGACAAGGCCTCACCGAGGAAGGCAGCCATTTTCCGTCAGAAGATCAGAACAACAGAGGGGAAGTTGGAAGTAGCAGTTGTTGAAGAATTTGCGAAAGGCCTATCAAAAGTCCAGACAATCTGCAAGGCATTCCTAGTCGATCGGCAAACATTTCTGTAAAAATATGAACGATAAGCC